AATCAAGCAGATAGTGCACAATATTTAAAGAGTTAGGCAATTGGCTTTGGGTGGTCTTCAAAGTGAGCAACAGGATCAGGGCGGCCCAACACAGAGTAATGAGGTATCCCAACAAGCATAAAGAGCATGCTACTGGACATCTGAGGGGAAGAAGTATTTGGAGAAGCAAGCAAGAAGGACATCAGTTTAATTTCAGGTAAATTCAGAAAAGTCTCTCTGGCTGCCCAGGTAACAAGAATTAAGTGGCTGAAACCAGGGCAAGAGGTGAATTGAATAAGCTGGGAGCCATTTAGGGCCTGAAAATAGATTTGCTTAGTGGTTTGTAAAAGCCCTAAGCCATAAACGTATTTGTCCAGATTATGTAACCTATTAGAGAAAACGCATATGAAGATACAATTATGACATATAAAAAGAAGATATAATTGTGAGATACAAAAGACTACTTGATGTGCTCAACCGGAAGCACTGTTTGACTTAGAATCTGAAATTAGTGATAAACTACTCTCAGGTTATATAATAATGATTGTACGAAGCTCCATGGTTCTAACTCCGAGAATTTTACAAATTCACGCAAAATTTGCTGAATGCATGATTTCAGTTCCAAAGTGAAGACTATCCAACGGGTTAAGGGCATCCACAACATAAAAGAGCTAAAGCAGCAAATTTAGGCTTCTATATTTAGCCAGGAAGATACCATTACTTCGAGATCCTCTTTCCAACCCAACCTCTTACGAGAAATGAAACTTGGAAGAGATCAGTAACCTACAAAATAATAAGTCCCATATCCTTTTGGAGGGACTGCAGAAACCTGTGTCAAGATGGTCTGAAATTAAACCAACTAAAATTTTAATCCTATATTTTTTCCCTTTCTGTCATATGATCATAGATTATCAGGGACATATTAAATAACATCTGAAAGTTTAAACCCAAAGTTTTCCAAACTTATGGTGGTTCAGAATCCTTTTAAAGGTAAGTTAAAATGTTAATATAATTATTTTACTGTTACTTTGTCTAAATATGTTCACAAAAACCTAGATATAAGCTTCATATGCTTATAGCCCTAGCTTTTAAACAACGCTGAAACCAAAACCAATTTACAAAATACCCACAAACACAAGTATAAAGCCAGTTACATTTAGACTAACAACTTAAATTCAATGTGATGAAAGATGCTACTTTCTAAAACAATATGACTATGGCACCGATGCTACAGCACAGACTCAGCACGTAGCTGTTACTATGAACCCTGTGTTTTTTTTTTTTCTTTTTTGAACCGCTTTTCTCTATTTGAACTCCTGCAAAACCATACTTCATACATCAGGTCACTGGGCTTTATCTAATCTTAAAATTTACATATTCTTTTCTCTCTAACCCAAGGCAATTAAGATGGCTTGACTTGGTGCCAATGTTTCTTGCTTTATTGTATATGTTTTATAATGAAGATAAGATGCATTATTTTTATATTTTATAATTTTATACTTAATACCACATAATTATATACTTTTATATTATAATAAATACAGTTTAACATTTTATACATTATATTTTTAAAACTTTATAATACTTATATACTTTATGATTCTATAAAATATATTCAAATGTATGATTGTACCTGTTCTTAAATACATATCCTAAAGAGTTTTCATTCTAAACTAAAGTAGTTATAAAATTACAAATAAATTCTCATAGTTTACTTCCTGGCCATTCCTAAGGACAGTACGAAAAAGATACACCAGAGGTCAGCTTCACCAGCCTGATGAATCATATAGACTTTTTATTTCCCATAAAAACAAAAGTACATACTGGCACAACTATATCAAATCATGCATTCAGCATTAATTCACCATTTTACAAATTAATAAGCATATTTAACTGTGGAGATTGTTAATATAAAACTGGGGAAAAGTAGACAAATACTGCATGACCTCACTTATGTATGGACTCTAAAAGAGTCAAACTCCTCAATGCAGACGGTTGATTTATGCATTTGGTGCTTGCCAGGGGCTGGGGGATGGGAGAAATGGGGAGATGTTGGTCAAAGCTTACCAACTTTCAGTTATGCAGGATCAATAAATTCTGAAGCTCTAATGTAGAAACAGCATGGTGACTATAGTTAATAATACTATACTATATATTTGAAGTGTGCTAAAAGAGTATATCTTAAGTTTTCTCACCATGCACAAAAAACAATAACCATGTGAGGTGATGGATATGTCTTTTAATCAGCTTGATTATGGTAATCCTTTCATTTGATAGGTATATCAAAACATGACATCATACCCTTAAATATATACAATTTTGATGTGTTAATTATACCTCAATAAGGTTGAAAAACAAACTAAAATAAACCTACTGTATTAAAAAAAAGAGTGGGAAAAAGTGATAGCATAAAAGTTTATAACACTAACAATTAAAAACTAATTTTTCAACAATTGCATTGTAGAGTAGCAGGTTTAGAATCCGTCTGCCTGGACTGGAATCTGCTTCTTTTTCTTTTTTTTTTTTTCTGCTTTTTCTCTCCAAATCCCCCCAGTACATAGTTGTATATTTTAGTTGTGGGTCCTTCTAGTTGTGGCATGTGGGATGCCACCTCAGCATGACCTGATGAGTGGTGCCATGTCCGCGTCGAGGATTCAAACCGGCAAAACCCTGGACCACTGAAGCAGAGAGCAAGAACTTAACCACTCGGCCACGGGGCTGGCCCCTGGAATCTGCTTCTTTATTATAGGCCTTGTGTCCTTAGGGAAATAATTTAACCTATCTATACCTCAGTTTTCCCATCTATAAAATGAGGGGGATGCTGGTACATAGTTCACAGTTATTGTGAAGATAAAATGTGATTCCTAATAAAAGCACTACAGGCAGTGCCATCACCAGCAAGAGCTCAGTAAGTACTAGCTTTTAAGGAAATGCATTAAAAAGTTACTCAGACAGACAAACTATGGTGTACAGTATCGTTATAACCTTAAAGAAACAAGTCAATAACATCCTTAGTTGATGCCTCACAATGAGTTATTAAATTTGTGTTAATATTTTATGTAGACTATAATCAAAGCAAAATCCTTTTCCTGTATATTCTACTAAATTAAATTATAATTGATCTGTTACCTCATTTTACAAGGGGCTACATCTAAGTGACTGCATGTTGACTTGGTTCAGACATGCCAACATAGCCCAAAGGAAATGGGACTCTTCAACAGCCATCTAGATGACTTCAAAAAACAAACAAAGGCCCTGAGATTTAAAAAAAAGTTAACAGAATTGTTCGGATTAATTATTCAGACTGGCTGTCATCTTATTCACCAAATTGTCAACTCTCTATTTATTTTTGTCTGGTTTTCTTAATAGCTAGTATATCAAACATGCTGAATGCTGTTATTTCTCTGGATGCAAATAAAGCTTTAATGTTTGCAAAAACTTATCATAATTTAAAATTAGAATATATTCCTAAAAAGTCATTTATTTCATCTGCAGAACTTAAAACTTTTGCTTGAAAGGTAAAGTTTTCATTCAACATATGGATAGCCTTATGATGCCTAGCAGAATAATGTCTACGTAGGGAAGAAGATACACACAGCTGTTAAGCTAGAAAATGAAGAGTTTCTTAAAAATCTTCTGTAGTCAGATATTCCTCCTCATACTCACCTTGAACTTTCAAGTATGAGAACAACTGCAAAAACAACTAAGGGAACAGAAGTGGTCATATAACCAATCAAATGAACAAAATCATCGAGGGCAGTAGTTCTCAAGCTGTGGTCCCCAGGCCAGTAGTCTGAGCATCATCAGGGAACTTGTTAGCATCAGAAACTAAGGGTGGAAGAGAGTAGATTAGTCTGTTTTAACAAGCTCTCCTGTGATTCTGACACACACTCAAGTTCTCGAACCTCTGGCTTGTGATAAACAAGCTCTGATAATGAACAGCCTCAATCTTCATTATAATATTTCCTCACAACTGGGGGGCTCTGGGCACACATTTTTACCTTCCCCCAGATTCTGCAGTCAAGATTCTACCACGGAGCCAGGGCAAATTAGCCTCCACCTCTGATCAGGAGAAGGGGAGAGAACAAAAACGTGACCACAGCAAGCATGAAGAGAGAAAGACCTACTCATCCAGAATAGCACAAACTACGCAGAAAGCAGAGAGAGAAATGGGAAAACTTCCAGATTTCTATTTCTCTGATTTCCTGACTAGTACACTCCCAAAGCCACTGACCATGAACTACGCGGAAGAACTGAGAAATGACCCTCTTGAGATATATCAACAAAAATTAAGTTGAAAATTGCCTACCTGAATAAAGCTCAAAAAACACTAAATATTTTAAGAGGAACAAAAAACCTACAGATTTAGAAAACTTAGAATTGGAAAAAAACGGTATCAAGTTCATTTTTAATTTTAAGAACACAGTTTGTAAAATCTCTGAAAACACATTCTTGCGAGTTTCAAGAAATATATACAGAAACAAAATCAATGAAAATTATAGCAATCATGTTTTTGTCTTTTAAATGATGGCTCATTCTATAATTACGAAATATAATTTTCATGTTGTTGAGTCTCATGCAAATATTAATTATCATCTTTAATCTAACAATATTTATAAACACTAACTATTGCTTTTTTAATATTGTAAAATATAAGAAGATAAAACAATTTCTGCTTTTTAATAGGGAAATTGAGATAATGCCACACAGCCTCTTTCTGAAAGTAAAGATAAACATTTAAAGAATATTAGTGACCTACCCTAGATCTTAGGTAAAGAATCAGATATTTATGCCAGCGGGATTTTTAACATGAAGTTTTAACTCAACTTACACCGCTGGGATTTTTTAAAGTATCGTATGTAGAGTTAAGCACTTTTACTAGTTCAAATATCCAAGTTTGGCTGAAATGTGCCAAAGCTGACATTCCTTCTATGCAAGACTACACAGGCTTGAGTAAATGGGAACCAATCTACATTGGCATATATTTGATCTGGAACTGGTTTGTTTGCTCCCAAACTCACCTTTCTTTGCATCTGGGAGAAACAGCTCTTCATTAGCCCTTCTGGCTAGGTGCTTGCTCCTCCAGACACACATCCTTAAAAGTTGACTCTGACCCACCAGGCAGGTGTGGAGTCAGAAGGCACATCACCCTGGCAACCCCCCACAACAGAGCAAAGCTACCAGCACAACACTCATATCTCTGAGGTCACATGTAGATCCACCCGAAAAGATGTGTGAATAGATATTCTGCAAAATATTATCACTGTATATATAGAAACCACAAACCTCCATCTCAGTGGCTTGGCATAAACACAAACTTGACCATTTAGCTATGGTCACCTATGTCCCGGTTTGCCCTAAACTGTCCAGGTTATACTTGTTATGCTTGTCTAATTATTGGCAGTGCCCCTTTTCACAATAAAAATTGTCCTAGATTAAACAATAAATTATATGGCCATCCTACAGACAGGCCTATTTCAGAAAAGGGGTAGGCATGAGAGACAAACCAGGGGCCAGTTTGTTTGGGGATGTCTGCAGGCCTCCTGCTCTAGGCTACCTTCCATACTTCGTTCAGTGACTGTGGAAAACACCTAGTAGACTCTCGACAACAATTTTAAAATCCAACTAAATAATTCTCCACTTCAAATGTAGAACTCAGGGGCAAAGCAAACAGCAGGTCTTTTTCCTTCCTATTTCAAAGGTGCCCAGAACCATCCAGAGCTCTATTCTACCTAATGGACACTGCTAGACGGTAATAATGTGACGAATTCATCCCTTTAACAAGTTCAACTGCAGGATCATCACTTCTGGGAGTTTTACTTAAAAATTCTTCCCCAAAATGGTCCTAACTCCCCCTACTATGAGAGCCATATTGAGCGAATTCAGATGCTCAGAAGGAAACGTGACAAACAGCACAGTGTCTGATGACTGCACTTCTCCACTCAACAATATTTATGCCTAAGATCCAAAATCACAGCCCTTAGATCTCCGAAGCCAACCCTGAGATGTGTTTTGTTTGGCCCAGGTAGGAACTTAACTGTTTCAAGTATTTGCTAATACTTTAAAATGTGGACGCAAAGAAAAACCCAGATTTCCACCTTCTCTCAGGACATCAGAAGCTCCAGCAACACTAGACTTGTATTCTATTAATGCAGTTTCCAACTGGAGCTGAGCACCATCTTGAGAAAGGACACCCACCAACCAGTCCTCCAAGGTCCTCACTCAACCCTCTTCCCAGGCACTTGAGTTTATAACCCCTGATTTCTGGCTGGAGGTACTCCTTAGGCAGACAACACGTGGCCTTTCAAATTAACAATCCTCTGCCAGCGATTCTCTAGGTTTGAGGAAAACAGGAATACATATCTTTGGACCAAAGACTCAACTGGGAAATGGCAATAAGCAGGAAAAGTCAGGGGTTTTTTTCCTTCCACCAAAAAGCCATATGACTTCCACTGCTCCTACAGGACCAAAAGCGGGAAATGAGCCTAAGCCTGGTATCATTTGTAAAGTAATAGCACATTCAGCCTCTAACACCTAAATACAAAATGAAGGTAAACACAAGGGGATGTTTTTAGTTGACCCACCAATGAATCAACAGCCGCTGTTAAGAATTCAAGGTGCTGTAACCCATAAACAAACTCTGACCATCAATGAAATTAGCAATGATGTGTCATGTACCAGATCTAAAGAAAATAACTTTGACATAAAACACCAAGAATCATGAAACGTTCCCTAAAGTCCTGGGAAAATGCAATTTCTTCCTTCTTACTGACAGCACCAAAAAAATCTTAATAAAGATGGTGATGACTTCCAGAAATAAAGAGCATGTTGCACTCCAATTTCAACATAGGTGAAAGCTAAAAATAAAGTTTTGAACAAATAAGCATAAAATGAAATTCATTTTAAACATGATTAGGATCTTGAGATAATCTGCAATAAAGTATTTTACCACAGTGTAACAGTGGTCACATCAAATGGCTCTCTTCGCAGTGGGAGTTCTGAGTGTTAGGACATTAAACTAGTTTACAAAGTAACTGACGAAATCTAAGACAATGAGCTTTTATTCTCTTCAATTCAGCTACAGGCCCTTTGTGAGAAACTATTGGACAAGCAGAAATGTTCAATTACCCCATACTAGAATAATAAATTAAGAAACAAATTAAAGCTTTATTTAATATAGGGTGTTTTTCTCATCTGAATACTAATTTCCCAGCTACCAAAAGGAACAACCACATGGGGCAACTGAGACTTTATTTATATTTCGATAACACTTTTCCAAAGAATCTAAAGTACTTTGCAAACATTAAGTAATTATTTTTAGTATAGCATTTTGGGGTCTTTCGATATGGTAAACATCTTTTACACATTTTTCTTTTAAAGACAATTTTGTTTTCAAAGACACAATCACTGAGGTAAAGTTTTGTTTGGATTCCTCTCGCCGTTAGATAAAGGACTGTGTCTGCGTTTTAAGGAAGTGAAAATGCTCTGCTTGGTAACAGACACCTCGATTCAGTAAACTCTGGAGAAATGACATTAGAAAACAGATTTTGACCTCTTCTATGACCCTTAGTTTTAAATCACCTAAGTAGGTATGGATTCTGTCTCCAATTAGTGTTGTAAAAAAAAAAAAAAAAACATTTCTTTCCACTCAACATCTAAACGCAGATTCGTACTTTGCTGGCAATCTGACAAGGTCTATGAACTTCTTCCTAAGCCCCGCTCAGAAACAGCCTCCCAGACCCGAGACCTTCAGAAGCTGCTGTGACTAGGACGCGACCGTCCAAATGGGTTAAAGTGCAGGACCTAACCAAGACCGTGAGTGAGTTCGGGGCCTCTAAGAACCCAACCCTCTCCCGCGTCCCCTCTCACACACATGCACACACACGCGGACAAGGCCAGGCATGCCATCTCCAGTCACACCCCCGACACCGCGATCCTCCGGGACGAGCGATCTTCCTAGGACGCGCCCTCTCCACAGTCGCTGGACCGCTCTCCGCCCCACCTCTCTCTCCCCTGCTCCCGCGGGTCGTGCGCTCCCTCCACCCTGCCCGCCCCCGAAGGCTCGCTCCCCGACTCCGGGTCAAAGCAGCCAGGGGAGCGGGCGCTCACGCGCGCCACGTGGAGGGCGCGCGCCAGCAGCCGGACCACAGTCGGTCCTCAACGTGATGTCCCAGCGCCTCCGACCCTGCTACTCCTCCCGGGTGCGCTGAACCCTCCCCCGCGCCTCCGAGCCGCCGTCTTGCCTGATTGGGGTCGGTGGCGCGGAAAACGTGACAGGCCATCTGCGACTCGGGGTCATCGGGTTGCGCCTTGATCAGGTAGGCAAAGTAGGTGAGGTCGTGGCTGTTGTGGATGAAGCGCGAGATGTGCTGCGCCTTGTGCTCGAAGATGAAGACGGCCGGGTTGGGCTGCGCGGCCGCGGGGCCGACGCCCCCCGCAGCCCCGGCGCCTGGCGCGGGGACGCAGCGCAAGAGCGGCGCGCTGAGCACCAGGAGCACCTCGCGGGCCGCCGGCGCCCCGCAGCCGCCCGCCTCGGGCTTCTGGCTGCGCCGGCGGATCTCGGCCATGAGCCAGGGCAGCATGGGCAGCGTGGTCCTGCGGTCCAGGCACGACCCTCCCACGTACCACAGTCGGAACCGCTTTTCGCCCGGCTTCCCGGGACCCGGCTGCGCAGGGGCGCCCGGCTCGGGCTCTAGGGGGTGCGGGAACGGCTCATCCTGAATGCAGCTGGGGGGCTCCATAACTCGCGTCTCCCGAAGGCACCGCGGCGGCGGGGCAGGCGCGCCGCGCCCCCAACTCCCGCGCTGAAGGCGCCGCCGAAACTGTGCCAACTGCCACCCCCGGCCCCTGCGCCCACCTCGGCGCAGCGCGCCCCTGCACTCGGCGCTTCAGCGGCCCAGCCCCATGCGGCACTTCCCCGGGCGGGCTCGGAGGCTCCGGCGGCGGGCACCCAGGGAGCGCCCGGCAGCCGAATAGCAGGAGAGGGCGGGTTACATCGGCATCCTCCTTTCTTGGGCGCGCGCCGAGGGGCTGAACTTCCCCTTTCCTCCGCCGCGGCTCCGCGCGCGCAGAGGACGGCTCCCAGGGCCCCGCGCCACCACCGCCGCCGCCGCCGCAGAACCGCTGCGGCCGCCGCGCTCGCCCGGGGCAGGACCCGGAGGCGGGGCGGGGAATAGGTCTGTGGGCGGGAGGGGGGACTTGGGGCGGAGCTGACTCCTACCAGGGTGACCGGCTGTCACCTGGAAGGTCGGGACCGCCGGGCTTCGGCGCGGTCAGTTCTTGGGAAGGGCCTGCGGGAACTATTCCGATGGAAAATAAAAACAAAACGTGGCCTCGCGGGGGCCGCTGCTCCTCCCGGCGCCGCAGCCCAGCCCGCTGCTCCTCCTCCAAGTGTTCCCGTCCCTCCCTCGCTCCTTCCTTCCTTCCAGGCTGCAGCTTTAATCCGGCTGCTACCCCGCCTTCCGTCCGGCGGGCGGAGAGCGTCGCCTATAAAAGCGTATCTGTGAAGTCGCCTCTCCGCCTCTTCCTCCGGCCGCTGTCCCAACCCGCCCCTGGGGCAGCAGTCCTGCGCCAGGCGCGGGCACTGCCCGAAGCAACTCGGCCTCTCTCGGGTCCCCAAGATCGCGGTCCCCTTCTAGGCGTCTCTGCTGCCCTCTGGAGAGGGGACCACTCTTAATGGAGCGCCGGGATTTTTTTTTTATTAATACTGTTTGCTTGGTTTCCATTTCCTCTAAAGGCTGCAAAATAATTTCTGAATCTTCTTTCCTTATAACCTCAAAAAATACTTGTTTTAAGTCAAAATATTAAAATAAAATCTTTTTAATTCCAATTTCGCTTTAAAATATAACATTGTATGACAAACATGAATCTTCCTAGCTCTTAAAGCAGCCAACTTCTGAAAATATGAAGAAATTGCATTTTGTTTATTATATCCACTCAGTTTAGAGCTAGTATAGAGATTTCTCACTCTTTTATACATAGTAATGCATATTTCCAAGGAACTCAAAAACGTTATAGGGATAATCTGATTGTTCTAATTTTAAAACAGAAAAGTAGAGAAATAATTGTTTTCCATTTTAGCAAATTGGACTGTCCTCTCTTTTTACTCTTATTGAATTATAATTAAGAATTTATAAGTAAAAATTAGATAAGAAGTAAACAAAATAAACGGGAAAGACACTGAAAGTTCCCAACTTTCTCCAGAGTGCCTACAGGAAGACGAAAACACGGGTTTCTCATTGTTTTTGGTTTAATGGTATTCCCCCTTTCTATAAGGCCCTGGGACTTTTTTTTAATGCTATTTACGTAAGACCCCTATGATCAACTGCCGTTATAATTCCTATGCTGAATTTCTGGGTGCACCGTTATGCCTCTCTTGTAAATAAACATCTAAGCTCCAAGATGGAGACATTATTAATTTCTTAGGTTTAGTCATTTGGTTTAACCACGCCACCATACCTTTGTGCAAAACAGACCGCTGTCTTCAAGAAGCAGTGAAGGGGCCCGCCCGTGGCTGAGTGGTTAAATTTGCTCGCTTCTTGGCGGGATCCTGGGCGCGGACCTAGCCCCGCTGTCAGGCCATGCTGAGGCTGCGTCCCACGTAGGAGAACCAGAAGGACCTACAACTATGTTCTGGGGCGTTTCCAGGAGAAGAAGAAGAAAAAAAAAGGGAGATCGGCAACAGATGTTAGCTCAGTGCCAATCTTGAAAAAAAAAAAAACAGTGAAAAGTTCTCGGAAAGTAGACTGAAACTTTCTAGAACCTTACCAGAAACTGTTATCAGATCCCATTTTCCTAGGAAGTGGAAGTTTTGTGGGTTCTACCAAATCAACAGCTCGGGACCTAGTATTGAATTTGGAGCCCCAGCAGGCCATTTCCTACTGGTAAAAGAAAGTAAAGCAAGAAACAACTTTCACATTGATGGAAAAACAGAATCGTCTTTTATTACATGACATCCTAAGAGTGATCGCCTCCTGCTCTGGAATGTCCTTAGCCCTTTCTTTGTAACTTTTTTGTGATGTTTCTCTGACTATGCATTAATGAGCATCATCACTGTTTGCCAACTATCTGATCCTCTCTGCAGCCTGATACATGGGAAGATAGCTCTTCCCTGCTCTCTGAAAGTTAGGCGTGGTCACAAGACTTGTTTTGGCAGTGAAGTGAGAGCAGAAGTGACTTGGGTCACATCTTGAGTAGAAGCATTTCATCACCAGTAGTTGCCGCTCCAGCCCACTCTTGCTCTTCAGCCGGATCTTCCCCTCCAGCAGTGATCAGGGAAACAAGATGTCCACATGCAGGTTCCTGGTGATCAAAGCAGCCCAGAATGCTGAGCCAACACACAGAGGACAGCCATCCTGGAGAATCTCCCAGGCACACAGCTCACTTCTTTTGAGTGAGAAATAAACTTTTCTTCTGTTAAGCCACTGAGATTGTGGAGTTGTTCACTACCTTATTGTTAATCTATCCTATTCTGTCCAACAAAATTATTATACTATAGTATATATTATGTCTTATATAACTTGTTTTATAATCATTTATACATTTGACTTATTACATGCATGAACTAGGTGGTAAACTATGCTATTAGTTTCTTCTCACCATTGTATCATCTGCAGAACCTTAGAGAATTGCATGCACATAAAAAGTGTTCAATTATATATTTGATCATTTGAATTTAGAAAAAGGTAAAAGGACAACATACAACCTTAAAACATTTGGTAGAATTGGCAGGTCTATGATGTTTACTAAATGATGGGCCAATAAATCAACCTCTGGCCCCCAACCCTTCCACTCTCAACCCCACCCTGCCCAAAAAACAATATGCTCATGAAAAGCATTTCAACAATCTGCAAGAAATACCTTCTGAATAGACTTGTAGACACCTCTACCTATGATATCCAAAAGTGAATACTTATATTTAAAAGAAAAAAAGTGCTCCTCTAATATCTCAATCTACATTAATGGTGTCAGCATTAATTACAAGTTGTAACATCCAGTCAATTCCTAGTTAAAGAGGCCAGCCCCATGATTAAGTTTGCATGCTCCCCTCTGGCGGCCCAGGATTTCGCTGGTTCAAATCCTGGGCACGGACATGGCACTGTTCATCAGGCCACGCTGAGGCGGCTTCCCACATGCCACAACTAGAAGGACTCACAACTAAAAATGCACAACTGTGTACGGGGTGGGGGAGTGGGCTTTGGGAGAAAAAGGAAAAATTTAAAAATCTTTAAAAAGAAAATCCTATTTAAAAAATTTATATTACATGAGAAATATAACGACCTGAGCTGGTGTAATGAGACCAGATGGGAGAGTTGTTACAATCTCTTTGCTTGTGTCCTTGCTTCCAAGCACAAGTGTGCTGTCTCTCTTTCTCTCTCTTCTCGCATCTTTCTCTGTGTCTCTCTCTCTTCCATGTTATGCCCTCTCCTCAATATCTACTTTTCTTCCTTGCTTAAAAATCCCTAAATGAAGATACATTTCCTAAAGTTCCAAGCACAAATCTTTCTAGTCTTACATTTTCCGCTCCTCCCTCCCCTCCCACATCCAGACAATCTCTTCATTTCCAAATGTATGACAAGCTCATGTCTTTTTGAGCTTCATAGGCGTCTTCCTCTCCCTGATTGCTCTTGCTTCCTTCCACCCCACAATTTGAAT